AAGGATAAGAGGACAAGGAACTTGAGTAGAGAGGGTAGCATAGAGCTGAACTCACTCATCATAGCTATTACCAGTTTCCCAGGTGGTGACCTGGGAAATAACAGAGCAATGGAAGTCATAATGATGATGAAGAGTAGGAGTAGGGGTTGAAAGATGGAATAATAAAATACTATGATCAGATACAGGAATTTCAGAGTTCGTGAACACGAAAGTGGAACCCTTATGGGGATGACAAGATCAAGGGTATGGCTATGAGTGTAGCTTAGGTGGGGTGGGGAAGTAGGTCAGGGAAATGAAGTCAGTTGGGTTAACTGGGAATCTAGGGTATTTGAGGGAATACCAATATCTATGTCGAAGTACCTAGTATGAAGGCAGGAGTTGGGGAGGAGAGAAATACTGAGAGCCAAACAGTGAACTCTCTGAGGAAGGAAGGGTTGTGTCTCGGGGGTGGATAGACAACAGGGAACAGAATCTTGATTGGGTGATAAATACAGATTAAGTGAATGAGTTCAGGCAGATTATCGTTGGCAGAGGGCCAGGTGGCTGTTGTGGAGGAGGAGCAGGCTGGAGGATAAATTGGTACAGTGAGCATTATGGCTAGGCCTTCTCACTGCAGGAAACAGGAAGCTGGGGGATGGGGGTGGAGACGGCACAGGATAGCTTTGAGACAGGAAGAGTCAGAAGTTGCAAAGAGTTGACTTGATCCTTGTCTGATGGCTCTACTATTAAACTAGGCCCAGATATTATATTTCAATGCTAAAATGGCACAGGTCACAACTCACCCACCTCTTCTCATCCTGTGTAGCTCTTACACACAGCTGTGCCATAAATCTTCCATAGGGTGGCCACTCAACAAACTGAGGGCCTCCTTCTAGGTCTCTTAACATTCTTAATGTAGCATAAATCCTTTTCTTCACCAGTTGGTATCTCTTGCTCTTGCTATATGAGCTTGATGGCATAAGTGGATAGAGTCCTGGGCTTGGAGTCAGGTAGACTGAGTTCAAATTTGGCCTTGGACACTTGCTACCTGTGTGACCCCTGGACAAGTCACTTCACCTCTGACTCAGTTTCCTCAGTTGTAAAATGGAGATAATAGCCCCTACCTCCCAGGGTTGTTGTATGGATCCAGTGAGATAATATTTGCAAAGTGCTTTTCAGATACTAAAACACCATATAAATGTGGTTATCATTATTATTACATGATTGGCCCATCTTTTCTGTTTTTATCTCTTTGATGATATCATTTATGACACTTCTTGTGTGCAGTCATCTTGGTAGTATGCTTCAGTCTATCTAGACCCACCATGGCTCTCTCCATTGCTTTTAGGTGCCCTGGAGTTTCGAGTCTCTGGAAATCACAGTATTCTGTGCTTTGCAGATATATAGAATCATAGGAACAATACACGGTGTCAGAAACATGAGGCCTTGTTTCAGACAGGGTCATTGAGAAGGCTGCAACACTTCTCAGATGGCTTCCTGCTCTCTTCCTCAAATTCAATTATGGATCAAGTTACCATCTTCTTCAGTGTCTAAGATATATGTACTGATGGACCAGCTCTATGGGTTGTCTAGCCAATTGCATATCATAATTCTGACAAGAGGCATCCTTCATCCACTTTGTTTCTCTTGTATGAATAGTTAGACCCACTCTCTTTTGCATAATTATGTATTTCAATTGAGAAACATTGGATCATAAGATGATAGATTTAGACCAGGGAAGGCCTTTAGATGCAATCTACCTCCAACTCTTCCTTGTACAGATAAGGGATCCAAGGTCATAGTCAAATGACTTAAGGTCACATGAGTAGTAAGTGCTCTGACTCAAAATGTCTTTTTTTGGGGGGGGGGGTTAGGCAATGGGGTTAAGTGACTTGCCCAAAGTCACACAGCTAGTAAGTGTTATGTGTCTGAGGCCAGATTTGAACTCAAGTCCTCCTGAATCCAGGGCTGGTGCTCTATCCACTGCACTACCTAGCTGCCCCTAGAATGTCTTTTTTTGTTGAACCAAACTGCCCTCCTGTACCAGGACTTGATATAATCTGCACAAAGTCGGCCACAAACAGGCCTGGATGTAACCCTAGAATTAAAAACAACTGGGTTAAACTTTAGGAGGTAGTGAAAAGCACATTAAGTACGAAGCCAACGAACCCAGTTTCATCCCAATTCTGCCATGAGTCAGCTGTCTCTGTGCAAGTTGCCACCTCATTTTACCCTCTGTAAAGAGATTGGACTAGGTGATCCTTATGCTCTCTTGATCATTGAAATTCTGAGATGACCCAAGAATAGAATCAATCTTAACATGGGTTACTGAATAAGGGAAGCCCAATTGGGCAGAAAAGGCATGGGACGTTGGGGCTGGAACCATTAAGACCTCTAGGAAAGGCAATGGAGATATGTCAGCAATGAAGCTTATGAAGCCCAGGGGAGGAGTGTTTGGGCAGAGCCTCCTTAACCAAAGCTTCTCAGGCAGGTTGGCAAAGTAAGAATGGGGTTGGGTGAACACTGATCTACCCAAGTCAAGACTTTAGTGGCTTCTCTTAGGACAAGAACCCTTAGTTCTGTTAAAACACTGATGTTTATGTTTCACATTTTCTTATTCCCCCCCCCCCCCCCAGGTTTTATCCTCTTGAAAATTGGTTCTTCTCTCTACAGAGTCCCTCAGTGAGCTTATGAGTTCCCATGGGTTCACTTATCTACAGGTGACTGCCAAATCTACTTTTCCAGCCTTAAGCTACCTTCCTTTCTCTCTCTCTCCCTCCACTCCTATGTCACTAAATATCTGCTGGACATCTACTTTTATGAGCATCTAAAACTCAACTTTTTTTTTGGTGAGGCAATTAGGATTAAGTGATTTGCTCAGGGTCACATAGCTAGTAAGAGTCAAGTGTCTAGTCTGTGACTGGATTTGAACTCAGGTCCTCCTGACTTCAGGGCCAGTACTCTGCACCACTTAGCTGCCCCTAAAACTCAACATGTCTGGAATGGAACTTGTGTCTGCTCTGTCACCCTCCACCTCACAACCGTCCCTCTTCTACGCCTCTCCACTTCAATTGATAGCACCATCATTCTTGTGCCTGCCCTTAAGGAGCTGACATCATAATGGAGACAAGATAGAAGAGGAAAGTGGTCGGTAGGGAAGGAAATTTTGTCTAAGAAGACACAGGAGTGGCGCCACAGGGCAGCTGATTGTTACATTCAATCAACTGGTAAGTCTTGTTGATTCTAATTCTACAGCATTTTTGGCATTGGTCCCCAATTCAACTCACACAACTTTTCCCCTGATTTGGCTTAGGGCACTAGGCTTGCAATCAAGATAGAACTGGGTTCAAATCCCACCCCAGACACTGACTAGCCATCTGACCCCCTGGCAAGTAATTTTGTCTTTCTGGGTCAGTTCTCTGATTTATAAAACAGCAGTATCTATCACACAGGCTTGTCATGATAATCAAATGAGATAACTGCAAACCAGTTTATAAATGTCAATTATTATTATTCAGGCCTTTATCACCTCTTGCCTGGACCTATTACAAGAGTTGCCATATTGGTCTTCCCTTCTTTATCTTTCTTCGATAGTCCATTCTTTGTGCAGTGACTCAATGAGTATTCCTACAACACAGATCTGACCCTTACTTTTTAGGTTAAAATACAGAATCCAGAGTCTGGCATTTAAAGTTCTTCACAACCTAACTTCCATCCACCTTTCCAGTTTTAATTAATAATATTCTCTTTTGCACACTCTCTATTCCAGTTAAACTGGCCTGCCAACTGTTCCCTACGTGTAACATTCCATCTTCTGCCTGGGAGACTTTGGAAAGTGGCTCCCTCGACTCTGGAATGCCCTCTGCTGCCATTTCTCCTACCATCCCTAGCTTCCTTCAAGAGAGCTAGGATGCTCTCTGCTCTGTGAAGCCTTTCTTGACTCCCCCATTACCAATGGTCCCTCCCTCTAGAAATTACTTTCATTCTTCATATTTACTCACTTGTGCTCATATTATACATTTGCACATTGTTTTGAGAGTGAGCAAGTACAAACTTCTTTAACCTACTATACCTAGCCAAATGCAGACCATACTTCATATCCCACACTGCCATCCACCCCAGGCACCTTGTGTGTGTGCCCTGCCTCCAATTACAGTAGCCAAATAAACAGTATCATTGCTTCTGGAAGGGGCATAACAATCCACTGGCCCGTGGCTCCACTCACCACTTCCTAGACCAAAACTTCCTTCCTTGCCCCTCTTTCCCATAGGGGTGGTCTCCCTCATTGGATTTAAGTTCCTTCAAGACATGAACAATCTCACTTTTGTACTTGACACATGGTAAGGGTTGAAGAAATGATTTTCAAGTTTAATGCCCTTAATAGAATGTAAATTCTTTGAAGGTTTTCATTTTTGCTTTCATATTTCCCTAACACACAGTAGGTACTTTGAATAAATGTTTGTTGAATTGGCTAGAGGTAAGGGGGATTTTGCCAAATGTTAGAGGAAAGAGTGGAGAAGGGGAAGGGAAGAGGGTAGAGAGACCCTGAGAGCTCAGACCTAATGCTGGTAGTGACTACCTCAAGTTCCAAAGAAGGAACTGGCTCTGGCTATAGGGAAGACCGGTCAGCTGGCTTCAAACAATTGATCCCCAGAAAGCAGTATGTTTTCTGGCCCTCTGACATATTTTGTGGGTAGTATAGTATAGTCGAAGAGCATTAGACTTGGAATATCTAAAAACCCAAGTTCAAATCCCACATCTGACACTTACTACTGATGTGATCCTGGGCAAATGACTTAACCTTCTTAAGCCTCAGTTTCTTTATCTGTAAAATGGGGAAAATACATATAAGACCCAGTTCATAGGACTGCTATAAAACAATGTGCTTTGCAAACCTTAAATGGTCTAATATTATTAATTCAATGGGCTTTTTCCAATATAGTACAAGCAAGATGATTTCTCCACTTGAGGGGAGCTGGGGTAGACTAGGGAAGCACGAAGCCAGGCCTATAAGCCAAGTGCAAACCATTTGGAGGGAGTTTTATTCAGTCCTGTACAGAAGAGAATTGGCAAGTTGTCTCAAAAAAAGGAGGAAAGAAAATTACAAACAGGTCTCCAGTGTTCCCCACTTTAGGGTAAGCAAAGACAAATAAATCACTTTGGATAGACAAACCGGTAGAAAGACATTTGGGATGCATCAGACAACGTAGAAGCAACAGACTCTTTACAACTGCAAAATACATACACACAGCATACTTTGAAGGAGTAGTGTAAGCCCCATAAACACTAGTGTGAACATCACAGTCATTGTGCAAAGGAGGAGGGCCCAAATCTGGAACCCCAAATGCAACAGCAGCCCCTAGCTGGCCAGCACCCTGGCCTCTCCCCACCGGGGATGGGTATTTCTACTGGAGTTCTAATGTCTGATTTCAGAAAGATGTAAACACCTCCAGTAGAATGTCTAAGCTCCTTGAAGGGAGGAAGGATTTCTTTTCCTGTGTTTGTATCCCCAGGGGCCCAACACAGTACCCAGCTCATAGCAGGTGCTTAATAAATAAATGCTCCTTGGATGAGATTTTTTTTTTTTCTAAAATTGTGTAAAAACTGGGTTCGAAGAGTTGGGATTTCGTGCCCCGACCACATTAGCCTCCAAATATTGCCATGTGACTGTTCTGATGCTATAAATGTGTGTGGAAAAATAGACAGTATTACATATTTTAAACAGTTGCTTAAAGCCATATCCTTCCCCTCACCCTGGGTTGAAGGGAAGCAGGAAGCAGTCACTTACCCCAAAGGAGGTCACTGACTGACCAACATATGTTCAGTCCTTAAAGGCACAGCAGCATTTTCTGGAGAGGTGCCTCCAGCTCTAAGAAAATCAGCCACAGTCGGATTGCTATTTACACTGTGTGTGTGTCTGTGTGTGTGTGACCCCCACTCCCAGCCCGCCCCTCCCCATTGTGACTGCAAAGAGTGACCTGAGAAGTGTGGTCCTTCCCAGAAACCAAAATCCCTAAACTCCTCTCTGCTCAGGAGTCTTTTTAATTGCTCAAGAAGGAAAGATTCAGGGTAGCCTTTGTACAGACTGTGCTTCTGTGGACCACTCCCCACCTTCTGCCCCCTGCCCTTGGAGATGCTGCAAGGCTTGGGCATCTCTGCTCTGACTTGGGGTTGAGACACAGGGAGTCCTGCAATGGTTTGGAGCAGGAAGGCCTATCCCCTGACCTTCGAGCCAAGCCAGCGTGGGAGAGGAGGACTGAGCTGTGGGTTGCTGGGAAAGGCTTCCTGGAATGCATGGTCCTGGCCTATGTATTGCTCAATGCCCTGATGCTGTCCCTTTTTCACCCAGGACACCCACTGTCTTGCACACTCCCAGCTGGTGATCATAAGGGGCAGTAGAGAACACAGATATTGGACATCTGGACGTCAGGTGTCCCTAGATTGGCCATCCCAACTATTACCCCACTGCCCCATTCTGCACACACAAAGGACGTGAGTCCTCACCACAGCCCTGAGAGTTAAGTAATTAGTATCCCCTATTCTTCACAGATGGGGAAACTGAGGCAGAACAGGCCTGAGGCATGTGAGGAGGGAAATGGGTTTGGGCTTTTGCATGCCCCTGTGCTTTTAGAGATCCCAGAGAGGATCTTTTCTCTCCTTCCACAGCCCCAAGGGATGAGTATAAAGGGTTGGGGAAGAAGGGTGGACTTACAGTTAGTTATGGGTCACAGTGGAAAATGGATCAAGTAGAGTGAAGGGGGGGGGAGAGGAGGAAGGAAAAGGGAACAGAGAGACAGGGAAAGAAAAAGGGGAAAGAAGAGGGAAGGAGAAAGGGAGAGAAGACCTTGTGTTCTTGTTTCTACCCCGTGTGGGATTCTCAGCTGCAATGCCAGGTTCCTCCAGCCAGCTCACCCTTCCCTCTTCTCTCTTGCAGATCTGAGCTCAGTCTGCATGCAGTAGAGCCCTGCCTTCTGCCCTTGGGTTCCCAGCCTCCAGGAGTCTGTAGTTCCTCCATCTCCAGCTGGAACCGGCAGCTCCAACTTTAGCTCAGCTGGGCTTCTTGGCAGGGGAAGGGGAAGGAGGAGAGAGAGTGATTCTTTGGTGTTTTTACTCAGCTCCGACTACCCCAAGGCCAAGGCCTGTGTAATAGCAGAAGAGGAGAAATCAAGAGCTCATTACCCTTTCTCACCCCCTGGCCCATGGTGAGGGAGCCTAGGGGTAAGGGGCCAGATACTCTGTGGTGGAGAGCACCACCCCTCCCCATCATCCACTAGTAGGCGGAGCCCAGGGAGTCAGAATGCAAGGTGATGTACCCCGAGGATTCGGAGGGAGAGCTCAGGAAGCTGCTGTTACTGCCTTTGCCCCCCACTGGCCTCAAGCTCTCAGAGTCCCCCCAGGAAGCACTCAGGCTCATCTGAAACCTTTTGGAGTCTGCGTCTAAGTCAGTCTTGTGGGCACCTGGGGGAGGTGGGGGCTCTTCACACGCAGGGGCCTCGCAAAGCTCAATGTGGACGGAGCCCTGGCGATGTCTGCTGTTCACAGGGAAGAAGCCTGGGGACTGGAGGTCCCTCGCCTGGAAGGGTCCTGGCAGCGCCAAGAGGCAGCCACGACCCTGGCCAGAGAACCGGCGCAAGGCCTGCGGCTCCTTCCCAAAGTCCGTCAGGGTGAAGTGGGTGGAAGGGCAGCCAAAGGTGTCAGGAAGCACAGAGGCCGAGGCAGAGCGGGCCGGGCTCCGGAGAGGGCTGGCCAGAGGGGACTCGTCGATGAAGCTTACCACCTCCTCTCGGCTGAAACAAGCCAGGTCCTGGCCACAGACCTCATCTCGGGGGAAATGGCGCAAGGACAGGAGACTCTCTGCCGATCTCCGACGCTTGCGGTAGGGGGTGACTTCTGAGAAGGTTAACAAGCTGCCCCGACGATCAGATGGGGAGGGCAACACCAGGTGGGCCAGAGCAGCCATATCTTCACTTGAGCCCCAGGGGCGGTGCAGATAAGCAGGCAGGGGGACTGTGGGCCACATGTCTGTTTCATCATGGGAATACCGCCTAGTGGGTGGAACCTAGGGACAGGGCTCAGTAAGAGAGGTGAGAGAGCGTCCTGGACACTTCTCTCTCTCCGATCTACCGATCTGCTATTTTTCTATCTATCTATCCATCCACCTAATCTATCCATCTATGTATATCCATATCTCTGCAATCCATCTGTCTCTACATATGTGTCTCATTTATCCATCCATCCATCCACCTATCATCCATTCATCTCTCTATTTCTATCCAACCATGTCTATCAATCTTTCTAACACATTTCTCAATATATTTAATCTACCTACCCATATATCTAATCTATTCCTCCATATCTATTGATATCTCTCTAATCCATCTATTCATCCATCTATCCATTCATCCATCTCTC